ATGCTTACAGCAACCTTGAAAATTCCTATTTACCCCTTGAACAGCTGAGAAGACTAACACAAAGAAAATTCTTTGTGTAGGAGGCACATTTTATATCCAAATCTATCCAACTGCTCCAAGTCCAAGTCCTTTCTAGTCTAATGTCTATAAAAAGCCAACAGAGTCTCTGTAAGATAGAAAGTGCTAGGACGTTAAAAGCACCAGGTGGTTCAGAGCTCTTTGGGGGCCGAGCTAATCAGGAACTTTATGTGCATGACGTCAACAGAGCAATAAACAGACCTGGTCCAAATCACAAGCTTTGGTTTGTCTGTTAGCTGCCTCAAGCTCCAAGTCAGCCACGCTCTGTGTACTTTTCATGATTTCCTTAGGCCTCCCATTCTCTGACTGGAAAGTCACGTCTTAAGGCCTTAAGGAACAGGAGAGGTAAAAATGGGTGAGCAGGTTAGGCAGCCTGGCTATTTGTTCTACTTCAGCAATTTTGTAATACGTTTTTATGGGGCTAGATTAAAAAAAAATTATGGCCATGAAGTCAACCCTTTCCCGTGTGTCTGTCCCTTCCAATGAGCCATTGCTGTCTCTGTTTAGAATGAGGAGAGGGTTCTGATGTGCCCTGGCCTTGTAACCAATCAGTGGGAAGGAGTGGTGGGAGGAGGGTGCTGAGACCAGGCCTTAAAGAGCCTTGCAGCTTCTGCCCCACCCTCTCGTGATTCTGCTCCGAGGCTGGCACGCTGAGAAGAAACTCCCTTGAGGAGCCACGGATAGAGAGAAGCGCAATCCTCTCTGCTCTCCCAGCTCTCCAGCTGAGCTCAGCCCCCATCTCAATGCTGCTGTGCAAATGAGAAAGCAGTGATTCACTTATTTGAAAGGCAGAGTGACAGCAAAAGAGAGAGATAAAGATCTTTCCTGAATGGGTTCCCCCAACAAATGCCCACAAGAGCTGGGTTTGGGCCAGGCAAAAGCCAGAAACCAAGAACTCCATCCATGTCCCCCATGTGGGTGCCAGGGATCTATGTACTTGAACAATCATCTGCTGCCTCCCAGACATGTTAGCAGAAGCTGGTTAGGAAGCAGAGGAGCAAGGCTGGATCCCAGGCATTCTGATATGGGATGCAGCGTTCCAAGTGGGGGCTTAACCTACTGTGCCATAATGTCTGCCTCTGTAGTTTTTTAAGCTGCTATATTTTGATGTGGTTTGTCACACAGCAATAAATAACTCATGGGGGAGATTCTACTGACAAAAGGAAATTTGAAGATCCTTTGGAATTCAGGTGTGGAAAGAGGTTTTTGCTTATAGGAACTGAATGGGATGGGATGAGAGAGAATTCGTCATCTCCAGGGAATCCATAGAGTTGAAAGGAAGCAGGCACTTGTGACATATTCAGACCAAGAGTTAGTATGCAAATGCTGAGTCAAATGGGAATCCTAGCACCAGAACTTGCAGGCCTGGGAGGGCCTTCTGAAACCAGGGTTTATAACTAGTTTTCCTCATTTTCCAACTCCAGTTACTGGGTGGTAGCTGCCTAGAGGGTTGTGTGGCGCATTCTGAGGCTTCGTCTGTTCTCAGCGGAAAAGACAGTTGTGATCTATTTGAGACATCTGCCTCGGGTGACCCTGACTGTGCTGCATTTGGAATGCTTCCCACTTTTTTTCTGACTGGGTTATCTTTCAAGGTTGTTTTTTTATGTCACTTCCTTGGCAAGGTCTTCCTTGCCTAAAGCAGAATGCCTCCCGCAAATGTCTCTTGATGCACATATGTGTCATAATTTGTCATTATATCTGTATGTGTAGTCATCTTTAATGATCCTTTCTCACAATACCTTCATATAACAGCAAGCTCCCTGAAGGCAGGGCTATGTCTCTTTCTTCCCAGTTGTTTACCCAGGACCTAGTACAACACAGTAGGGTGCTCAATACTTTGGTTGAATAGATGAGTTAGAGACAGCAGGGATATAGAGTTTCACCAATCTGAACTAAGCCATCTCCTCTCTGTCCTCTAAGTGGTTGGAATCCTCTAAGTGGTTAGATCACCTTTCCAAATCACATAATCTGTGAAATTCCTACTCCAGTGCTCTTTCTAAAACAAAGCACATAAATGCATTTCAGAGACCAGAAGCTACAGGAGGAAAGAGACTAAGATTGTGCTGAGAGACTGAAATGGTGCTGCTGCAGCCAATTTGCTGAAGGTAAAAAAAGTGCTCAGTCAAGTTAACATTTTCCTGTTTTATAGTGATGTTTGGCCAAGATGTGAAAGGTGTTGTGGGGTAGCACCTTGTCGTAATCATGTGAGGGATGTTCTGTCTCAGATTTTGCTTCTGCCCTCGTTAACACATATGGGAGACTGTGTTTGGTGCAATGGTTCAGATGACTCTTGGAACACCTGCACCCCATATTGGGGTGTCTGAGTTCCAGTCCCAACTCTACTCCCAATTCCAGCTTCATTTTTTTTTAAAGTCTTATTTATTTGAAAGGGATGGAGAGAGAGAGAGAGAGAGAGAGAAGAGAGATCTGCTGGTCCAATCCCCTAATGGCTAAAAGAGCCAGGGCTGGGCCAGGCAGAAGCCAGGATCCAGGAACTCTATCCTGGTCCCTCACATAAGTGGCAAGGGCCAAAGTATTCAGACCATCATCCAGTGCCTTGTCAGGAACATAGCAGGAAGCTGGATTGGAAGCAGAGCAACCAGGACACAAATGGCACTGATATACGATATGGGATATGGGATGCTGGCATTGCAAGCTGTGGGTTAATCTGTTGTGCCACAGCATCAGTCCCTCTATTTTCCTTTTAATGAGCAGCCTGGGAGGCAGATAGTGACACTTGGATCCTTGTCACCCATGAGTTCCTGGTTTCTGGCTTCTCACAGATATTTGGAGAGTGAATAGCAGATATGAGCTCTCTCTCCTTTTTTTTTTCTCTTTCAATTAAATAAATAAATAAATAACATACAAATGGGATGTTCAAGAGTCAAATGAATGTTTACTTGTAGCATCCTCTGTTCCGGGGGAAATAAATTATATAGGATAAGACATTTTCGTGCCCCCAAATAACTTTTAGATATTACTGTTTTGAAAAGAAGATGAAAAATAAAGATAAGTGAAGACATTTTTCTCACCCTCAGAGGTAGCAAGAGTAAAAATAAGTAAATTTGCACAGGTTCAAAGCCATCATTTTATTTGACCTGGGGAACTTCCTGTATCTCCCAGAACCTTCATGGATGACAGAGCCAGTTTACTCTTAGCAAAGCCTTTTCTTCTCAGGGATGGCCAGTGTTTCCTGAGGGGAGCTGCCTGTTTACTGGGCTCCTGAAGAATGGAGGTAGCAGGAGAGAAGGCCCCTCCTCCCAGCCCCCACCCCTTATAGGCACCTGTAGCAAGAAAAATGTGTGGCGAATGTTTGCAACAGCTGAGGTTATGATGACTTGTGGGCTTTCAAAAGTGATAGGACACAGCAAGTTTACTATTTTCTTGGTTAAAAAGTTTTATTCTCTCTTTATGAGAAACGTCTCTCCCCAGCTTTACCCTCCAGGACAGGAATCGGCAAATTTCTCCCCAAAAGGGCCAAATTGTAAATATTTTAGGTTTTTGTTCCAACTCTGCCATACACATATCTCAAAAACAGTCAATGGGTAGATGAATCATTGAGGCTCTGCTCTAATAAAACTTTATTTATAAAAACAGACAGAGCTCTGGCTTTGGGCCGTGGGTTGTAGTTTCCCAACCAGCTTTAGAAGATTGGAGTCAGAGCCTTTTTTTTATGAAAGATTAAAATTTTAGTCGCTGATTTCTGAAGATTGCTTCTTGCCTCCAGATATGTAAGTAATATAAGCAGCAGAGTATAGTCTAATTTCCATGATTTTAAAGCTATTAAAACAAAAAAGACTCAGTTCATTGTAACTTTAAAATGAAGGGACACTCTCTACTGTAAGAAACTGTTAAAAAATTAAAATGATGCATAATTTCCAAATTCTGCTTCTATGCAGTGGCCCTCTTGCCTGTGAACTTTTCAAGTAGAATAGCTATTATTTCCCACTGATGAACCACAAATGGGCTGAAGATATTTGCATACCTTTTTAAACACTATATATACAAGTACTCTAACCTCTGATTCTTCTTACCAAATTCCATTTAATTTGTCATTAATTAGTAAATTGGTATGTGAAATGCTGCAAAGCATCTTGGGTGAAATAGCCAGCATGATGATTATTCTTTTGGAAGCTATCTGAAATTGTTACTACTGAGAAATTTCCATGAAAATAGAAGGGTCTTTGGAGCTGTTCTTTTAAAATAAGAATAAAATGAGCCAAATGGGGAGAACAAATAAAGGCAATAATAAATCAAGGACAAAAGACAGGAAACTAGTCCCCAAAAAGTATCTAGGAAGAAACTATATTAGCTGGTGGGTTTTTTGTGTGTGTGCATGCAAAGAATAGGTGCTTCATCAACTTTCCTTTGAAGATGGACTAAAAACAAAACTAACTTAAAGCAAATCCTAGAGTACACCTTCAGAAGTCCAGTTAGTATTTGCTTTAAGAATCTTCCAATCTCAGAAAGCCTTTATGAAAGGAAGCAAGGGTGGGGGCGATCTTGGCCGATTGTAGGCAAGTGGCTTCCTTCCTTTCTGTTGCTCTCAGCATATGGATTTGCATTTATGTTGTCAATTTAGACTCATTGCTTTGAACCAGTATCATTGTCTCTCTCTCCTCCCTACTTTTGTTTCCTTTCTTGATTTCCTTCTTCTCTCCCCTTCTTTTCTTTCTTTCACTTAAAGCCAAGCCAAATGCACCTTCCCGATAGATGGGATTTTGCCCCCACGTTGTTTCCAGTGCTTAATTCCTCCTTACTTCCACCTCCGGAACCAAGTCCAAAAGAAAGGCAAGTCTCTTTGACCCGCTGCCCTCCCTTTCCTGCCTTCTCTTCTCCAGGGTTTCAATGCTTGATTGAACGGTGTGTTAGGTTCACTGAACTTGGTCTTGGCTTCAGTTCCAAACAGAGACAAAGTCCGCTTCCAGGCCGATTTCCATATGAAAGCAACTGAGATCTCTCCCCATTTTGGAATTCCAGGCAGCACCCTGGGCTCCGACTTCTCAAAATTACACAGCCCAACTTTCCCAACCCCCACATCCCAGCCTGCTGCAACCTCCTCCACTCTGCTTCTTGGCCACTCGATTTCCAGCCCTACCAGAACAGGACCATGGCCACAAGAGAGCTGCGGTGAACTCAGCCCAAGAGCAACCGCTTCCTGTTTCTCCGAGGCCTGTGATGTAAGAGAGAAATTTGTTTTCGAGGGCTCGAGACGGGCAGCGGGAGGTGGGAGGTCCCATCTAGGATGGAGAGAGTGGACCAGTCAATGTTCCTTAGGGCTGCATTTCAGAAAACCCCATTGCCAACTATTGAGGAACAGACATAGCCCCGTTAAGGAACTAACCCAGCTCTCCGTGAGCTGCCTCCAAAATGTCTGCTTTACATCCAAGATGGATTTTGCCGTACTGGAAAATGATAACAATAACGACGATGTTGCTCCATTCCATTCCATTTCTGTGTAAGCAAATGTGAGTTGTTTGGATCCTAAAAGATGCTGTTAGCAAAAGTAATATCCCCTGGAAGGCTGGAAGGAACCTAGCAACCCCATCTCTATTCCTAACTGCAGAGATGCGTATGGGTTAACAGGAAAATCACCCTCCGTCTCATTTACCTATCATCAAAGCAATTTCAGAAATTGCTGGCATTCAAATGGGACCTTAATTATTTCCTGGTCTGTGTTCATGTCGATGACTTGATGTTTTTGCTCAAGGGACTTTCCAATATTCCTACCTGGTCACATCTCAGTTATGTACTTTTCTATTCCTTCTTCCTTTTGTTGGGAGGTGGGGAAGGCAGTGATGTATAGACTTCCAGTGGCACAAACACTGTCATTGTTTTCAATATGCCTTCTCAAAATGTCACTCCTGTAGTGGGGTGCTGTTGTCTGGAAGACTAGAAATATGGCTATGATTTAGACACCACAGAGCTGACATGGAATCTCTGCCATGGGTGTGAGCATAAAGAGGTGCACCTGTGTGTGTGTACACAGTTCCTGTACAGGTGGTACATTTCCAGTTGGCGTGTGCATAAAGTACCAGAGATGTTTGGGCGAGTGTGTGAGATGCACAGGGATTTGCACATGTATACATATATATATACGTATATATATGTGTGTGTATATATATATATATATATATACATACATCATGCATTTGTCTAAGTGGGAACGTCAGGAAGTGTGTGAATGTGCAAATCAGTAAGCAGAGTCCTGCCAGCAGGAACCCTGGCTTGGTCCTTGCAAACCTCTTTGTTAGAGTTGCATTCCCAGTGGGCACCAAGCCTCAGCCAGTGCCTGGAGATGCTGTGTTGTGCTCTCCTGAAAGGAGAAATGACTGAAACGCAGGATGTCTGTTGCTGCAAGCTCAAACTAAGTTGTGCCGGTCAGGTCCCCGAGAAACAGCCTGGCCATCACTGCCGACACAGCCCTAAGCAGAAACACATGTGCACGCCTCTGCCTCAGAATCCAGTGGCCTTAAGGAAATGGATCTCTGTGGAAGACTGAAGGAAGAAAAACTGAATCAGCTGCACACCGCTTGCCGTGAAGGTGCCTGGTGTCATTTGTTATGTTGGCTGGGTACCTTCTCTATGCATTATAATAAAATAATCTCCTCTCGTTTTATCTGCAGACACGTTATTGTCCTGCATCTGGCCTGGGTAATGAATTCATACACAGATGGGTGACAACAAGGAAGAAGAGTTTAAGTATTTCGACAGTGTTAATATTGATCACAGAATAGATTAAGAGACAGCCGGGAGGAATTTCTTCACGGGATCAAATTCTCCCTCTTCCCCCAGCACCCCGGAGACAGCCAGCAGCCATAGACACCAGCATTTATCAATGCAACAATTTCGACTCTCGAGCAGAAAGCCTCCCATCTCAGAGATTTTGCATCCAACAAATCACTGCATTTTGTCCTTAAATTCAACATTTTGGCAGGATTGTTGGACTGTGGGATAAGGAGATGAAGAATTTTCAAGCCAGGATTTCCCACCCCCAGCTGCTGCACACTGAACTGCGTTGTCCACGGAGAGGTGGTGATGATTAATCACGTCCAGTTCCCGGGGACCCACTCTGCCCATCCCCCTCCCTTCCCATTCACTCCCCCTCTCCTAGGCTTCTATGACAGTGAGAATGATTTACTGACTAGTTGAGGATAACAGATTTCAGGTCTTAGGTCCAATCTGCTTTAGTGTCTTTTAAATAAACAGACCTGGCCTTGCCTTGGGCACTCACACCATTGCCTTTTCCGAGGCCTTTATCCAGAATGGTTTGTCTCAGTTCCCAGACCTTTTTTACTTCGCTTGGTCCCCGATCCTACAGCCTTAATGCTGTGACCTAGTTCATGGACTTGCTTCCCTCACTCTGACCTCTGACTTCCCTTCTCAGCCACCACTCTCCCGTGTCCTGTTGGACATTTTGTTTGGAGGCTCAGGGGAAATGCCCTGCTGGGTTCTCATTGGTTGCAGGGCTGGAACCCCAACTCCCAGCCAGCTTTGGCTGTGCTCTGAGAATTGCTAACAAACAAGGAGGAAGAGGGCTGTGGTTTGCTGAGGATCTACGGCATGCCAAGTGCTGTGCCAAGGAGCTTTATATATGTTACCTGATCCTCACAGCAGTTAAGCAGCACGGCCCCCAATGAGCCTTTGCAGCAGCTGAAGCTAACAGAGTTGAAAGAACTTGCCCAAGGTCACTCAGCACAGGTGGTGGAGGGACTAGTAAAAGCACACATCTACCTGCTTTCTGTTGTCTGGCTTTGCCCTATAATCTTAATCTCAATCATAGCAGCATCTCCTAAGCATTTACATCTGTTAAACTTTGTGCCAAATCAATTGTATAGAGGGAGTGCCAAACATACATGAAAAATTGGAATTAAAAGATGAATGCATTTTGGTGCAAAATTTTTAGTCTATGCCTAGGTTTTTCATAATATGCATTTTTCAAAAACTTTTTAAAAAAGAGATTTCTTTATTTGAACAGCAAAGTGAGAGACAGAGAGAGAGAGAGAGAGAGAGATCTTCAATCTGCTGGTTCATTTTCCAAATGGTGGCAACAGCCAGGAGTTGGCTAGGCTGAAGCCAAGAGCCTGGGACTCTACCTTGGTCTCCTACATGGTGGCAGGGGCATCTTCCGCTGCCTTTCCCAAGCACATTTGATTTGCAGGGATCTGAGCTTGAGCTGGGTCTTGAATCAGCACCCAGATATGAAATTGCCAGCATTGCAAGCAGAGGTTTAATGTGCTGCACCACAATGCCTGCCCTCCATGGACTTCTGGAAAATTCTTCTAGGCAAGGATTTCAAAAATTTTTTGTGCCCACAGAAACTTTTCTTTTAGTCCTATTTTCCACAAACTTATTTTGAAGCACTCTTGTATTATTTTCTTACACTTCAAAACACTGAGATTAATTCACCTACCAAAAAAATCTACCCTTTAAAAAAAATTCAGTGTTTTTTTAAAAAATGCATCCACATAGTTCTGCAACCATTGCCATTACATTCCAGAATATTTCCTTTGTCCTCCTAGAAAGCTACATTATCCATCACCAGTCACTCACAACTTCCTTCTCCCCAGTCCCTGACAACCTCTTGTCCTCTTGCTGTCTCTATGGTTTGCTTATTCTGAACATTTCCTACAAATGGAATCAAACAACGTGTGTCCTGTTGTATCTGGCTTCTTTCCGTTAGCATGGTGTTCTCAAGCAGTAGCATGTCTCGGTATTTCATTCTAAACTGATTCACGGACAGATTAAAGGAACTTTAGGTCATGTCCTAGGAAAGGTCCCCAAATACAATCTCTTTGCATTTGTTTTTCAATTTAAGTTGCTTACTGGCCATCCTATATAGGACAGGACCTTTCACCAAAGGATGAAAGATCTCTCTCTCTCTCTCTCTCTCTCTCTGACACACTCTCTCAAATACATAAAAATGAATAAATGAACATGGGATAGAGGGGAAAGCATGATGCGAGGCACATCCCACCAGGTTTCCCCCTAGGCCGTGGTCACCCATAAGGTCTCACTGGTCTCCATTTCAAAACCCTGCCTCTCAGCCTAGCTCCAGAAGGCTTCCCTCATCCAACCTCAGCCCTCCAGTGTTCCCCTAGAGCTCAGAAGTTTTTCAGCACAACCTAGGGCCATGGTGTGGCAGGGGAAGTTGTTGAAGAGAAGCAGCGTTTTCTAAGGGGGCATTGGATCACACTTCTCAATATATCCATTCAGGTCAGTCAGAGCTGGGGGGCAGGAGCAACAGTGTTTCCTTCCCCTGGAGGGATTCCAAGGCCCAGGTGGTCAATGGAGGATAAAAGCATAAGAATTAAAGAACAAGTCAGGGGTGGGAGTTGTGGCATAGTGGGTTAAGCCACTTGGGATGTCCACATCCCCTATCAGAGTATCTGGGATTAAGTCCTACCTCTGCGTCTGATCCAGATTCCTATTGATGTAAACCCTGGGAGTCCTACATGATGACTCAAGTACTGGTTCCTCCCAGCCAGCCTCATAGGAGATCTGGATGGAGTTCCTGGCTTCTGACTTTGACCTGCCATAACTGGGTGTTGTAGATCTCTCTCTCTCTCTCTCTCTCTCTCTCTCTCTCTCTCTTTCTCCTTCTTTCTCTGTCACTCTACCTTTCAAATAAATAAAAATGAATAAAACAAAATTTTTAGAAGAGTAGGCTATATATTATGGTGGTGACTTTTTCAATCAACAAAACTATATTTTATGCTGACCTGCCGTGACTTCAGTTTACTTCAAATAATAAAATTGCAGAGCCTACATAATACAGCATACAGCCCAGTTCCTTGCCTTAAGGTCTTCCATTCAGAGTGGGGAGCTAGAAAATGCACAGGGGAAGTCCCTGGCCATGGTAGGTTCTGCACACTCTGTCACACACTGGTGTTGATGGTAGATGTCAGAAGAATGAATGACCATTGTGGCAGCAGGCCTGAATCCATCTCTCTACTGGAAGAGGAGGCTTTTGAGAGAGGCTGAGACTTAGGGAAACAGTCAAAAGGAGATACATGCAGAGAAAACACCAAAGGAAAAGCACAAAGCTAGGTCTAAGTTAGATACTGTTGGACAAAGTCATGTTGGCTGGCTGGAGTTCAAAGTATCCTGGGAGGAGACTAATGAGGGAAGTGGGGTTGGGCCCATGGCAGCACAAAGAATAAGGACTTTGTTCAGTAAGCAAGCAAAATTCAGACCTGGGGAACTCTGGCAGGGTCAAACTGAGCATGATGCTTTCTGTTGGCAAATCACATCAGGTAACTGGGGAAAAGTGTTCTGACTTATGGCTCTCTGAAAGAATGGCTTGAACCTAGGGTAGGGCTTGCTAAGGGTGGCATGTCCACAGATAACTGGAGGATGTTAAATAAAATGCAGGTAACAGGAAAGCACTGAGAGTCAACCTCAGATAGGCTGGTGCAATGACCAGTAGGGTGAATTCTGAATGCGTGAGGGACAGGTGGATGTCACTACTTTGGGTTGCCCATTTGGGTGGCCAACTCAGGGATGTGGGTTCAGGAACAAGGATTGACACACTGAACTAGCGTCTAGAACAGACTGTGCCTATATCTGAGTTCAAGAAATTTGTCTGGAATTCAGCTCAAAATCTGGATGATTCAGAAGGTCCACTTATCAAAACTGTATGAGAAATTTTTATTCTGATGATAGCTACCATTTATTGGACTCTCATGTTCAGGGTACAATATGTATGTGAACTTCTAAGTTCATGATCTTATACTTCAAGAAACTGTTCAGAGAGGTTGAGTGGCTTGCCCAGTGTCACACAGCTGGCAAGCAGATGGCGAGACTAGGGCTCAGTCCTTGTGCAGCTAGCATCAAAGCCCTTGCTCCCTCCCTCACGCATACTGTGGGTGAATAGGTTTCCAGATGTTGTGTTCACAGAGAAGCATCTGTGCATATTTTCATCCCAATCATCCTATATTTGACTTCTTAATCCATACATGAGGAATACAACACAGTCCTGGTTATATTTCCTTGCTTTGGCCTAATACGGGAATACCAGGCTGCATTTGAATACTAGGCAGACTGGAGCTGCTTCTCAGAGCTTTGAGCAGGAGTTCAATCAGTGGTCTCCATTTGTATCCATGAATCTGATGCCACTACTGTTTGGCTGAATTTTTCTGTAGTTGCCCAACTATCTTGTGCTAGTATCTACTGTAATATTTAAGGTTAATTTTCATATAGGAAAATGTCATCATTTCAAGCAGAAATCCCTCTTTTAATTTTATAGCTTTTTCTGCACCCAGGCCTTTTGGTTCACAATATTCATTGTGAGGAGTAAAAGCATGCATGTGTGTATAAGCATGTACATGTGCTTACATGAAGGTGTACACACACACACACACACATTCAACCTTTGTTATTGGAAAAGAGCAAGCAGGAATAGGGAGTGGGACTTGGTCAGTCCCACAAAAACCTCTGCCCGTCTGATGAGGCCCCTGGGGAGGCCATGCTGAGGGGTGGGGCACCAGGGTGGAGGAGGGCTGCCCCCTGACCTTTCCACCCAGGATTCTGGCACCAAATTTTACATTCCAGGCATCCTCTCGGAGGGCACTGCTTGGGGTATGAGCCTGCTCACATCAGGCCGGGAAATTTCATCCATATGTTTCTGATTCATTTACACTCATAAAAATGTGATTTTTAAGAGCAATGTGACATGCAATAAGCTTTCTAGGCTGTCTCTCCTGCTCTGTGTCTCTGTTCAGTGGAGAATTTTGCCAAAAGAAAACCAATTCAGACTGCAAGCTCCTCAACCCCAGAGGCAGAAACGGCAGCGAGGCACATCCAGAGAGCCCCAGCCAGCATGAGGCGACTCCCAACAATACACCATCAGGCTGAAACTGTGCCTGAGATCTGGCTTCTGCTGTTCCCCGGGGAGCCCCAGTTCAATATCCCAATGATAATGATGGCTTTCTTTCCTTGCTATTTTTATTTTCTCTATTTCTCATCCTTTCATTGGCTCTTATTACCCTAGGAACATTGATTCTTCAGCTCTGCTTACCTCTCCCAATACTTTGCAGGCATTATTGTATCCTTGTTCCTTCAGATTAGCCTGTCTTGAGCCAATCCATTTACTTCCTTTTTTTTTTTTTTATTTTATTAACGGAGATGTTGCAAATTGCCTGAAAATAGTGGAGCTCTGTTTCATTTTCAAGTCCTTATTGTGTTTTGGGCTATTTGGCTCAAGGTCTGTGTCTCTTGGCCTCCAATGAGTTTACCTTGCTCTGCCATTATAGTACACCCAGTCTATTGTGTTTGTCTTTCTTGTTTAATTGCATGTTCCTGTTTGGTTTTCCTCTTTGCTGCTCTTAGAGAGAAAAGAACTGAGCAATGCTGCTCTATCTTAAAGGAAAGTTAGAAGCTTTGGAGGGTCCCAGATCTGTGGATTAATTCTGATCTCACCACTTCCTGGGCTTCAGTTTCCTATTCTGTCTGGTGAAGAGTCATCTCTCAGAGTTGCTGTAAGGATTTAATAAGATTGTATCATACGTGGCCCTGGGTCCACATGGACTAGCATAGTTGCCCAGCACAGAGGGGCCATCTCATGTTGTTGGAGTCCATGCCCTTCGGCTCAAAGCCATGGGCACAAACCTCCTGTTAGCAAGTCAGGTGTACCACGTAGTGCAGTGAAGAAAACTCATGCCCTGGGGATCCATGGGCAGCTCAGTAACAAGATGTTCAAAGGAGCATCTTATAGGATGTCACTTTCAGCTAAGTGATTTGGTAGCAGGTGAGGGGGATGCTATGGAAGTGGGTCTGATGCTGTTGAAAAGTTGGGGATAATTCTGGTTGGGTATCTTTTTTAAAAAATGGTTAAAAGGCTTATTTATTTATGCAAAAGGCAGAGTTACAGAGAGGGAGAGGCAGAGGCAGAGAGAAGTCTTTCATCTGCTGGTTCACTTCTCAAGTGGCCACAATAGAGCTGGCCCAGGCTGAAGCCAGGAGCCAGGAGCTTCCTCTAGGTCTCTCACGTGGGTGGAGGGGCCCAAGGACTTGGGCCATCTTCTGCTGGTTTCCCAGGCACATTATCAGGGATCTGGATTGGAAGTAGAGCAGCTGGATCCTGAACCAGTGCTTATATGGAGTGCTGGTGCTGCAGGTGGCAGCTTAACCCCCTAAACCACAGCTCTGGCCCCCGATTGGATATCTGAAATAAAACTGATCCAAAAAAAGAGCGACTAGAATGAGGATAAAACTGTAATTGGTGAATAAGGACTAGTCATGTGTTTTGGCACAAATTTGAGAGTGTTTGGTTTTGTGCATGGCATAATGACATTGCTTGTCTGTCCTTAGACACAGTTGTGAAGTGTATCTTACTTTGTCTTCTTTTCCATGATCTCAAAGTATGAGTGTTTTGTGAATTGTGAATTGTTCATGTCCAGTGGCACAGTAGCATAGTCCAGCTATGAGTGCCAGGCCAGTTTTGGAATGTGAGTTACTTTTCTTTTTTTTTCTAAACAAGCTTCTCTTCTTCTATCTCTATGTTAGAGGGAAAGCAAGCTGGTGAGCTGACCAGTTTGCCTGTGAAGAAGTCAAATTAGAGTATGAGCAGTTCACATGTCCCAGTGGCTGGGACAGGGCATACAGAGGGACAGAACATCACAGCAGCTGTAGAGTACAGAGCAGTCTAGCAGCTGGAGGGGGAAGCTGAGCTCAGTCTGCACATGCTGGATCCAAGCTGAGTGGAGGAGACCAACAAAAGGTTGAAAACCCCTACAGACAAACAGCAGACATAGGGAGATAAAGTGAGAGGCCTTAGGGGATGGAACCTTGGACAAGCTTTATGAAGCACAGGAACAGAGAGGCAAGGACTTTATTAGATGTCTTTGCCTCATCTAATCATGAGATGAAACTCTTCACAAGGCTGAATCAATATGGATAAAGATGACTATTAAGAAACCACAGGGGCGTGGCCGGTGCCGTGGCTCACTAGGCTAATCCTCCACCTTGTGGCGCCGGCACCCCGGGTTCTAGCCACGGTCGGGGCGCTGGATTCTGTCCCAGTTGCCCCTCTTCCAGGCCAGCCCTCTGCTATCGCCCGGGAATGCAGTGGAGGATGGCCCAAGTACTTGGGCCCTGTACCTGCATGGGAGGCCAGGAGAAGCACCTGGCTCCTGGCTTCGGATCACCGCGATGTGCAGAGCGCCGGCCGCGGCAGCCATTGGAGGGTGAACCAACGGCAAAAGGAAGACCTTTCTCTCTGTCTCTCTCTCTCTCACTGTCCACTCTGTCTGTCAAATACATAAAAAAGAAAGAAGGAAAGAAGGAAAGAAGGAAAGAAAGAAAGAAACCACAGGGGCCAGAGCTGTGGCGTAGTGGGTCAAACAACCTTCTGCAGTGCTGGCATCCCACATGGGCACTGGTTCTAGTCCCAGTTGCTACACTTCCAATCCAGCTCTCTGCTATGGTTTGGGAAAGCAGTAGAAGATGGCCCAAGTCACTGGTCCCCTGCACTAGCGTGGGAGACCTGGAAGAAGCTCCTGGCTCCTGGCTTCAGATCAGTTCAGCTCCAGACTTTGCCGTTATTTGGGAGTGAACCAGCAGATGGAAGACTTCTCCCTCTCTTTCTGCCTCTGCCTCTCTGTAACTCTGACTTTCAAGTAAATAAATAAAATCTTTAAAAAAAACCCTTTTCCCCTCTGAAGTAGATGATGTTTCTCCCTAATACTCTAAGTTGCCATTTAATGGTGAGGGAGGGTTGACCAGATGATTGATATTCTTAAATGTGATCTGTTTGTTTGCTACTCCCCCTAAAACACATTTATTAGGATTAATACATTATGATATTTATGCTTCTGGATGGCTATCCTGATTTTACTGAAAGGTTGGTGTTGGTGAGAAATCTTTCCCACCCTAAATCATAAAGATGACTTCTCTCACCTTTAGCAAGTCTCAGAGTTTCCTAGTCAATCTGCTGCAATGGTTTGATTGTGATTTGTCCCCAAAGATTCTTGTACATTGGTCCCCAGTGGTAGCAATGTTGGGGTGGCAGAGCCTGTAATGGGTTGGGCCTCTCCTTGCAATTTTTCCCTTGTGCATGGGGCTGTTTCTCTTTCTGCTTGCCTGCCTGCCTTCCTTCTTTCCTTCCTTCCTTCCTTCCACGATTTATTAGTTTTATTTGGAAAGAATTAGAGAGAAAGAGAGGGAGAGACAGAAAGGTCTTCTATCCACTGGTTCACCACCAGACACCCCTCCACCACACCAGATGGCTACCATAGCCAGGGTTGAGCCAGGCTGAGGCAAGGGGCCAGGGGCTTCTTATGGGTCTCCCACATGGGTGGCAGGGGTCCAAGCACCTGGGCCATCCTCTGCTGCTTTTCCCAGACCACCAGCAGGGAGCTGTATTGGAAGTGGAGCAGCTGGGACACAAACTAGCACCCGTATGGGATGCTGGAATTGCAGGAGACAGCTTTACCCACTATACTATTTTTTTTGTTGACAGTCAGAGTAGAACAGTGAGAGAGAGACAGAGACAGAGAGAAAGGTCTTCCTTTTTCTGTTGGTTCACCCCCCAAGTGGCCACTACGGCCAGCGTCTTGTGGCCGGTGCACTGCGCCGATCTGAAGCCAAGAGCCAGGTGCCTCCTCCTGGTCTCCCATGTGGGTGCAGGGCCCAAGCACTTGGGCCATCTTCCACTGTCTTCCCAGACCACAGCAGAGAGCTGGACTGAAAGAGGGGCAACTGGGACAGAATCCAGTGCCCCAACTGGGACTAGAACCCGGGGTGCCAGCGCCGCAGGTGGACGATTAGCCTAGTGAGCCATGGCGCCGGCCCCCCACTATACTGCAATGCCAGCCCCTCTCTTTCTGATTTTCCACCATGTTGTAAAGCAGTCAAGGAGATCTTTGCTAGGATGCTGGCACCATATTGTTTGGACCCTCCAACCACTAGAAGTATGAGTCTAATAAACTTCTGTACTCTGTAAGTTACCCAGTCTCATGTATTTAGTTATAGTAACACAAAATGTACTAAGACACCTATTATGTTCTCAAAGGATACAGCTATTTCTTCTCTACATGAGTCATAATTTATCATCTCCTTGGTATGCCTGCAACTGGAATTTATTTTTCTTAAGTTCAATGGCAAGAATTGTTCTTTTCTTGGCCCACCTATAGTCAACGCTGACTGTTCCTATTCTGGGCAGAAAAGACAGTAAGTAGGCCACTTCTGGCTCCAACATCCTGTGAGCCAGTGTCTGCCTTAGTTTCTCTACAAGTTTTTAGTTTTTTTCTAGATTATTAATTTTATTTCTGATAAATAAGCCATGTTGATTTTTCTGATACTTACTAGACAACATGGAATTCCATTAGCCTGCTTCTTCAAATCTTTCTTGCCTATTAGATTTCTTGTCTACTGTGAGAAAATTGGTCCTTGATCTCAAATCACTGATTTGCAATGACCACCAACTTCAAGACCTAATCTTAATCTTGAGTGAGTTCTGTACCTCCCCTAGTTCAGCCCAACTTCTCTTCTTGAGTGCCTACACTCACCAACAACATCGTGCCAATGAGAATGAGGGAGAAGAAGAGAATATGTCTAGTAGATCATGATCTGTACTATAGAACATCCTGATTGGGGGAGGGGCAGCCCTGTTGGAAGGTTTTCTGGTTTGTCATGAGAACTTAAAGTGGTTCTCAAGTATGATATGCATTCTCCATTCTACAAGCAGAGTGAGCTTTGAAACAAAACTGCAACCCTGTATTCCTACTTCAAATCCATCACTGGTTCTAACTGATTGTGGAACGAAGCTCTAATTCTAAAGTGTGAGCTCACCTCTCTGGTCTACTCTTGAATAACTAAATGGACACAAGTCATCCTGAGACTTATCTTCTTCCTCTGTACAATGGGAATGGCATTACTTGCCCATCCTCTTCTGCAGTGAGGATGAAATGTCATCAGACATATAAAATATAAACTGCTTTCAGAAGTAAGGAACGATAATCCACTGTGCAATACATATCTGTTGAGTGGATGAATGGGTTGCTTCTGTTACTTTCTTCCCCTTTGAGGCCCACCAGATGGGGAAGGAGGCAGAGCCGGAGGGGAGATCATTTCTAGCCCCTTGAATATGAGGCGATTCTGACACACAATCTGGGACCAGTATGTTTAGCCCTGGCTTTCCTTCTCTTCAAGTGTCTTTATTGTATCCATCCATAAATCCAGCTGTGGAAGAACCACTTCAAAAAAGCTGTCCTCAGCATATATCACCACCCCCCGAGGAGGGGATGTTCTGTGAAATTAAAGAAATAAGTATAGATTTTTCTAGAAGGGGAGAAAAAGGAAGGACTTTCACTTTTATTCAATTATCACTTCAGCAGCTGTCTACACGACTTGGAAAATGCCCTCACATCTCTCAGTGGATTCTCCGTTGTCAAAATCCCCCCTTCTCACTGGCTGACAGAGACGGGGTTTAGTGCCAACAGCATTTGATGCTGAAATGCAGACCAGGGACGACATGGAACTCTCTTACTCCACATTCATCTCTTCATTATTTCTGACATAGATATTACAACGTCGTCACAGATTTAATAGAGGATAATGGGAATACAGTTCTAAAGCATTAGGTGTGATCTCGAGTGACTGTAGTCTAAACTTTTAATATAAAGCAGATATTCTGCATGCGAAGGTAAATGAGCAGAAATCCAGCCTCACACAATGGACATCACAAAGGCATCACCTTCACAATAGGGAGTGAGAAATGAACTTTTCATTCCTGGATATGATTGACAGCTTTTTGTGTCCATTCATGGCTGCACAAATCCTGGTGTCATAGCAAAGAACATGAAAAATTTTTCTAACAGCTGTGATGGAGACTTTGAGGCATGAAGTTATAGAAGTTTGAAGTCAATTGTTTCCAAAAATGCAGAGCAAAATGAAATAATTTTGCACCTTGCTGTTAGTCAAGATGTTTTCTTCCAAGGCGCCTTTTTTTTCTACCCAGTGGTATCTGCATGATATATATCTTTCCAACAGCCACAGGTGTTAGGTAGCTGTTCCAAGGATTTCTCTGTAAATGTTTCCAGCAGGGCTCCATTAAACTAAAGAAACAGGATAAAAACCACGGAAGTTGCCCGACTTCCCAGCTCCTGGCCACTCTGGTGTCCTGGAACTAACTTACCTTTCATCTGTTTTTCCTTCTCTTTTTGCCTTTCATGTAAATTTTACATCTGGACATTCCCTCTTTTCCCAATTTCCTCTGGGATTAGGGATTCACATCTGACTCTACTGGTCTCTAACTTCACTGCTATTCCCTTGACTTGATTTTTCCCAAATCAGTCTCCCTGACCCTCATTAAATGTGATATGCAGCACCCATTGCCCACTCCTGGGTCTCCTAGCACCCCTCCCAGGTGACTGGGAGCCCTGCATGTCCTTCTGGGGGATCAAGGGTTGAGCCCTGGGGAGAGAAAGATAAGGTCCAGGCCAGCACCGCGGCTCAATAGGCTAATCCTCCACCTAGTGGCGCCAGCACACCGGGTTCTAGTCCCGGTCGGGGCACCGGATTCTTTCCTGGTTGCCCCTCTTCCAGGCCAGCTCTCTGCTGTGGCCCAGGAAGGCAGTGGAGAATGGCCCAAGTGCTTGGGCCCTGCGCCCCAAAGGAGACCAGGAGAAGCACCTGGCTCCTGCCTTTGGATCAGCGCGGTGCGCCGGCCGCAGCGCGCCAGCCATGGTGGCCATTGGAGGGTGAACCAACGGAAAAAGGAAGACCTTTCTCTCTGTCTCTCTCTCTCACTATCCACTCTGCCTGTAAAAAAAAAAAAAAAAAAAAAGATAAGTTCCATGATATATGGATAGAAACTGGTGCTCACAAAAGTCTTAGGAGTAGACCAGGAGCCAGTAACTCCATCATAGTCTCCCATGTGGGTTGCAGGGGTCCAAGTACTTGGGCCATGTGTCATTGCCTTCCCAAGTACATTAGCAGGAAGCTGGATCAAAAGCAGAGTAGTTGGGACTTGAGCCAGTGCTGTGATATGGGATGGCTGCATCACACAGCAGGGGTCAAGCAGCTGTGCACAATGCTCACCCATAAAAAGGGTAAAATATTGAAACTACAAGAAAATATACTGTCATAGGGAAAAAGCAAGAGGAAGAGGGAGGGGGAAGAAGGAATAAAAGAAAGAAGGAAGGAAGAGAGGTAGGGAGGTGGAGGGAGGATGGAAGGAAAGAAATAAGAAGAAAAAAACCCAACATTTGCAAAATTATCGTGGACTATCTCAAAATGATTTTTGCAAATCCATGTGCTCTGTAATAGAACTGTAATGGATTTAGTAAGCTTGCAAGTTTGTAATGGATCAATTTCCCATCTATTTTTACAATAAAAATAGTTCATAAATCAGTATTTCCTATGATGCTGTTGAATTTCATTTTTATTTTCTGAGAGGAATGGATTCAACTATGAACTTATGGGAAAAATAAACCAATTGTCTAACACTGGACTGGTGAATCCAAGCTGCAGAAACACTTTGTTTTTGTAATTGCCCTATTCCACTGAACACTCAAGGCTTGCTAGTAAAAAATACTAGTGAGCGAAGAAGTGAAGAAATTTAGATTCAAAGGAGTAGAAGCAGAAAGAGTAGACAAGATTGTGTTAAGATGTTATGGGCATGAGGTATATGGGGACTCTTTGCACAATTCTACAATTTTTGTTTTGTAAATTGAAAGCTATTTAGAAATAAAAAGTTAAAATAAAGACTGGGTCCAAGCCAGGAGAGTTGTTACTGATCTGAAAGCCTTGATGGTGTCATTGTAATGATTACTGTTTACTTGGCTCTTATTCATGCCAAGTCATTTACATGGTATTTTTAATTTTTTACAGTAATGATGCAATGTTACTAGTATTCCCACATTTTGGGTTAGGTGCAAGAGTGGGAGTAATTTATCTATGATTAAAAAGTTTCTGTCAGGCTGGCGCCATGGCTCACTAGGCTAATCCTCCGCCTGCGGTGCCAGCACCCCAGGTTCTAGTCCCGGTTGGGGCTCCAGGTTCTGTCCCGGTTGCTTCTCTTCCAGGCCAGCTCTCTGCTGTGGTCCCGGAGCGCAGTGGAGGATGGCCCAAGTGCTTGGGTCCTGCACCCGCATGGGAGACCAGGAGGAAGCACCTGGCTCCTGGCTTCGGATCGGCGCAGCGCGCCCGCTGTAGCAGCCATTTGGGGGGTGAACCAACAGAAGGAAGACCTTTCTCTCTGTCTCTCTCATTGTCTTTAACTCTGTCAAATAAAAAAAAGATTTAAAAAAATAAATAAAAAGTTTCTGTGATGGGCAATTTCCAACAAGCCTTTCAACAATCTCTTCTTCTGGTATATAGCCTTCCCTTGCGTATGGGGTGGGTCAGTGACTTGTACTAAACAGTTAATATGACAAACGTGATGGGATGTTACTTCCACAACTATATATAATTTCTATTCTGGTGCTCTCTCTCATTGTGATGAAGCCAGCCACCATGCTGGGGGCTGGCCTATGGAGCAGCCCATGTGGTAAGGAACAAGGGAGGTGTGTTAGTCAATTTCTCATTACTTTACCTGAAATTCTGGAAGGAGAAACTCAAAAAGGAATATTGCTTATTTCAGCTTACAGTTTGAAGGTTCACAGTCTGAGATTGGGTGGCCCCATGAGAATGGCAGCTGGACATGGCAGAACATGTGTGGAGGAGCACAAGGTGAGCCAGGAAGCAGAGAGATATGGAGAGTACATTCTTCCCTTACAACAATGTGTCACCCTTTATATAGCCACAATAATTCCATCACTGGTCTCCACTCCCACAACCTAATCCTATCTAATCACTTTCCAAAGCTCTATATTCAAACATTGCAATTTGATTATGTTCCAACATTAATGCATTAACATATGACTCTGGAAACCAAGATTTTAACACACGGGCCTTTGGGAGACACTAAAGTTACTTTTCAAACCAGAACAGGAGGCCTCCAGCTAAAATCTTACAACATCTCACTGAAAGAACACTCAAGGAACTGAATTCATCAGAAAGCCACATGAGTGTACCTGTTGAGCCTTTAGCTGAGACCTCAGCCCCAGCCAATACCTTGATGGCAGCCTGTGAGTGCTCCTGGGCCAAGGGCACCCAATTAAGCTGTGCCAGATTCCTAACCCACACAAAAATATGAGACAATAAATGTGTACCCTTTTAATTTGCTGTGCTAGGGAGTTAATTTATTATATACTGATAGATGAATATTGCTCTTATAAAGTGGCTAAGCTAGAATTTAAACCAAGTATTTATCTGACCCTCAAACCAAAACCTATCTTCTCTCTACCTTACCCTTCAGTCATCTTCAGTACTGATGGAACATTTTATATGTGCTGGCTATCATGCTGGGCACCGGGGATGCAAAGGCATAGATTTCTGGATAGATATTCATGTGAGTTTAGGACTTGGACTTGGCCATGCCTTTAGTATACAGCAATGAAGAAGGAGGACCATGTCCCCAGTATGAGGAAGGGTGGGCATAGAAGATGGGATAAACTTGGCCTATAAGGAATAGACCAACTGGGCCAGAATGGAAGGCTCTAAACTGTGGCTTAAGAATAAATTACTCCAATGCAAATACCTGATGTAGCCTCAAGAAGCAGCTAACACAGGCTGATTTTGTAGTGTATACTTATGGTAGCCTTATTGTAATAAAAGTAATTATAGTATATGTTGGATGATGAGAAGTAGTGTCTCAAGATCTCTGTGAATTAGTGTGGATTGATCTCCATGGTACGTTAAGTGAATAAAACCAAATGCAGAATAGGGCAGTACCAGTTGGCTTAGTATAATTTTGTTTCTACAATAGAATATCTCAGACTGAGTGATTTACAAAGAATAGAGGTTGATTTTGGTTTATGTTTCTGGAGATTGAGAAGTCCAGATGACATCTGCTGTGTTTCTGGTGAGAGCTTGATGCTGCTTCAACTTATGGCAAAAGGCCAGTAGAAGCATGCAAGAGTTACCATGAGAGTGGGTTATTACAAGACAAGGGAGACAAATGTGTACTGGGGACATGGTCCTCTTTCTTCATTGCTGTATACTAAAGGCATGGCCAAGTCCAAGTCCTAAGCTCACATGAATATCTATCCAGAAATCTATGCCTTTGCATCCCTGGTGCCCAGCATGATAGCCAGCCCATATAAAATGTTCCATCAGTACTGAAGATGACTGAAGGGTAAGGTAGAGAGAAGATAGGTTTTGGTTTGAGGGTCAGATAAATACTTGGTTTAAATTCTAGCTTAGCCACTTTATAAGAGCAATATTCATCTATCAGTATATAATAAATTAATTCCCATTGCTTTATAATGATCAGCTTTCATGAAACTAACCCAGTGCAGTGAAAGGAAGGACCCACCTCTGTGAGAAAAACATTAATCCCTCTTAAAGATCAAATCACCTCTTAGAAGCCCCATTACCTTTCAACACTCTTACACTGGGGATCAAATTTCAACATGAATTTGGGTGGGGAAAAGCCACATTCAACCCAGAGCACCAGATATTAGGTAAGAAGTACTAAAAGGATAAATCATAAAGCACATAGCCCAGATGACTGCTTTGGGGGCAGGATTGAGGGGAGAAAGGGGGAAGAGTGGTGGGGAAGAGAAGTGGGGAAACTAGTGTATCTTTTGTACAGTTTTCACTTCTGAATTTTTTAATGTCTTAATCAAGTTGGAGAAAAGAAAATTTTAAAATTGGAAATTAGTGGAAGCAATTCAGTTCAATTGTGTGTAAAGTTAAAGAAAGGAATTATCCCAAGAGGACTTTTGAGCACAGTCCTCTGACTGAGTTTGCATGATGACATACTTTCTAAGAATAAATGGAATTGACTCCATTCTGTATTTTTACATTAGAAGTAATTCTGGTATTAAAGTTTTGAAAACTATTCAATGTATATTGTAGGGTAAAGCAAATAAGCTATGTCAGTGGTATCAGGAACCACAATTTTCCGCGTAAAAGAAAAGAAATGTGGCATGACAAGATGTGCCTGGCTCATTTTTCACATTTTCAGCCCTAAACCTGGAATCAGGAAGGTCTGGTTCCTTTTAGTGGGAAGTAGTCTTTGAAAACCACAATCTGGGCACTAGGGAATATTTAAAAAAATGGTCTCACTTGGGTCCTTTTATTGCCCAGGGTTTTGAATGCAGCTGCTTGGTTAATTTTATCTCCAGCTGGTAAGGGATGAGTCAGAGGGGCTGAGTACTGTCAGATGGTGGAGGGCATTCCATACCTATTATAAATCTGGGCATTACCTGATCAGGAAAAGGGAACAATGGAAAATTACTGGGTCTGAAGTGTCTGCTGCTGGCAGCAATAAAGAATAATGCTTAGTCTGATGCATATTTTGTACATAAGTGATGTCATCTGGATCTAACATTAGGATCCATAATTTCTTGTTGGCCAGTATTTAATAACCTAATTGTAGAATGAGTACAAAATTTCTCATGTAGCTTTTCAAATCCTGATATTGCTTCTTCCTGTGCAATTGAACTTACATGAGGTTCTGGTCCTAATTGGACGGGAATTTCATTTTATCTCATTACCAAATTCACACAATGATTTAGTTAAAATTCATATGTATTAAGTGTTAAGTATGTGGACAAAAGCTATACTGCGTAGCCCAACACTTACACTAGTCCAGAATATCTCCAAATTTACTTCTATTTTATAAATTCTAAAAATAATACACCTAACAAAAAGAATAATTGAAATATTAGTAGGGGATACAATGATTAAGAGATTAGCCATTCTGCTACCTTCACTTATTTCTTAGAACTTTTTGATTTTTCCATTCATTGCCACCATGATTCTAAATAATAGACCAGTAGTTCCTGATTTATAGATGTCAGCATTTGAAAGGCAAAGAATTTAAGTCAGCTGCACATACTAACTTCATCTTCCTTTTTATCTCTCCTTTGAACTTGTTGGCTAGATTGTTAACTTTTTTGTTTTAATTGTGATCTTAATAACTTTCAATAATATACTGACATCTCTACTTTTGGTTCTATCTACTTAGAAATTGTCTCTAAATTCATCATTATTTAGAAATAAAGTAAAACTTTTATATTATTTTCCATTTTTTCCTCCCCTTCTCTACTTCTGTTGTCCATCAAATTTTTTTAGATCATCAACATTTGGCAATAATATCGTGTAATGCAAGTGGGATTATGTGCTAAGTGCTTTGTGCATAGTTTATTCAGCACACTAGGAATTAATAAATAATAGTTGCAGAATTACATATAAATATTATTTTCTATAAAGCTAAATAGTATGATTAGATTCATGGAGAAAAATAAATATAATTTTATGTCATTATGCTTGTGCTGCTCATAAGAGAATGAGGTGCCAATGCTGATGAGATTCTCTTTTGAAAAAAATGTCACAGATTGCTTAAATTAGTCTGTATTTTGGTGTGCTTTGCTTTTGATTCATGATTCTCTTAGGCTTTTTCATTTTTACTAGAGGTTATATTTGCCTTTTTTTTTTACTTCTTGAAAAAAAAAACTATCATTTTCAGCATAGTAATTGAATCTTTTAGTTTCCACTTAGATCAAAATACTTGTTGAATAAAATGGATTTTCTTTGAAGAAATTTTCCTCTGAACCCTCAATTACTGGCTCTGATCTATGCGAATCTGTTGTTTATCTCTACTGTTCTCTTTGTTTCCTTGTTTCTTACAGTCCATGACTTCTTATTTCCTAGAACTCTCTTCTCATTTGCAGAAGTGTTTTACTTTTTCATAAGGAGCGTGTGATAGGTACTTTATGGCTTTGTGTGTACATTATGATAATATCTGCCTTCACTCTTGGCTGATAGATTTTCTGGTATAGAATTCTAGTTTCACTACTATTTTCCTTTAGAAAGCTGAAGACCTTGCTCCCTTGTCTTCTGTTATGCAGTGTTATCATTGAGAAGGCTATTGCCAACTAGATTTTTTTTTCTATAGGTGACTTTCTTTTTGCTTTTCATTGGCAATGTTTAGAGTATTCTTTTTCTTGAGTGTTCTTAAATTCATATGAATTCAATTAAGGCCTTTGAAACCTAACCCTACTAGACTGTTTAAACCTCTCAATCTTAATTCATTACCTTTCTTTAGTTCTGAAATTTTCTTCTATTCTTTCATTGACTATTTTTCTCCCTCCATGGTCTCTTTTCTTTTTTACTTGGAACTCCTAGTAGGCAGGTATTGATTTCCTGAACTTTTATTCTATGTTTCCTTCTTCTTGTGGCTTTTAATACCTTATTTCCATTTATTTATTAATTTGCTGTACATGTAAGAAGATTTCCTTAATTATTATAATGTAACTATTTTAATACTTTAAATTTGTTCTTATTTAGATTATCTTGCTTTAAAATTGAATATTTAGTCTAAAATCATTTTATTGCCCTTATTTGATTGTAGACTATTCTTGTTTTGTGTATGTATTCTTCTAATTTCCATGAAGCATTGCTATGATTTGAGTGTCCCACCAAAATTTATTGTGGAAACTTAGTTCCCAAAGTCCTATGTTGATGGTTTTTGGAGGTGAGGCCTTAAAAGAAGTTGTGAGCATGAGGTCCCTGTGACTGCATTGGCGGTTTTATAAGAAGAGGAAGGAAGACTCACTCCATCAGCTGTATCTGTATCTCCATGTGAAGCCCTCCACCTGGTCATGACCCAACAGGAAGGCCCTCATTGGATGCCGAGGAGATGCCAGCACCATGCCATTGGACTTCTTAGAACTGTGAGCTAAATAAACCCCTTTCTTTTATAAATTACCCAGTTTGTGGTGTTCAGTTTTAGCAACAGAAAACAGACTAAGACAAGCATATTTAATTTTAAATCTCTCTTTCCTCTGAAGTCATGTATTGTCTTCTCTTCTGCCTGGTAGTCTTCCTCAACTGTCTGCTGACCTTCACTAGTCTTCTCACATTTGTGAATTAGGCATAGAGACACATTGCCCAAATTATAGGTGTGGGTTTCCTCTACTGAGATGGACATCTGTCTCCTGAGGCATCCTGTCTACCTCCAGATAGGTTGGTTGCTTGGAAGCTTTGGTACGTGGGTAGTTGTTCCATACCTTCAATGGGGGTGGATTTGCCTTTTTTCAAATGCCAAAGTAAGACAGCCTCATCTGCAAAGCTGACATCCATCCTGGAGGTCCTCAGGTCCATCCCAGATAGATTTTCCACTTCTAGACGGCACTCTG